AAAAAAAGGTTTCAGGGGATCCTAGAATTCTGTAGACACACATTTATTAAATGGGGGCAAGCGGTGTAAAACGATTTTGACCATTATTCCTAAGTGCCCACTCCCCTGTCCTCTGCCTCCAGACAAGCGACGCGCTCCACTGGAAGGGAAGGAAACACACCTGTGTCCATTTCGTCGACGCTGTTGAGAAAGTCGTCTGGAGTTCTGGGGACACTGTAACTGCTCATGCTGAGGCCACTGTCGGTGCTCTCGTCTCTTGAGTGAAAAGTTCCACTGTAAAGAGAACAAAACACGTGAAAAGGCCTGCAAATGTTTCAAACACAGAGAGGCACTGAAAACCCTCCTTATTCTGCAGGAACCAAATTCTGCCATCAGCAGCAACTTTGTAATTTGAAAGAAGAAAAAATAATCAAAGGAGAGATTCTTAGGATGCGCAGCTCCGTGCCCAGTGCTTCACCTTGCAAACCCAAAAACACCCAGGCCTGCAGCTGATGCCCAAGGGATGTGGGCATTTGGGAGACATCCGTCTCGCCCATTACAGTACGCTTTCAAGGAGGAGGAGGAAACAGAATGGTGTAGGAACAAGGAGAGAAAGGAAGAGATGGTCCCTTACTTCCTCGTGTGTTTTCAGTGCAGAGACAGAGTTTGGCTAGCAACAGTGCATCTGGAGAGAGGTACAAGGAAATGTAGGACCTGCAGGTTAAGTTTAACTTTGGGAACTGATTGTGAAGCAAAACAAAAATGAGAGGCGTAGGTGAGGTTTCCACTGCAGCAGAAACATGACTTGGGATGGAGCAGTAAAAGGGGCAGGCATATCTTCTTGAGATCCTCAGCATATTTTTGCCCTTTAGAAAACAAACAAAACGCAACCCTTCTTTGAAACTAGTCTTGGAGTTCCTTTCTTTAACCCTGTGTAATTGTTAGCTTCTACAAGTCTTACTAGAAAATGAAAAGGCCAAGGGGGTGGGAATGGGGGAAATGTGGGGGAGCGGGAAGATAACTTCTCTTTTCTCAATTCTCTGGGTCTTAACATCCCCCTGTGAAGCTAGAGATATGTGAGCTAAAAGATCAAACAAGCAAAGGCCACATAAACCCAGGTTCCAAAATGCCCATAACCCACAATATCATATATTGCTGTATTTATTTAATTGTATTTGCTAAAAAAAATATATTCTGTCCTGCATTTCTTAAGCCACAACTGTTAGCCCCCACCTTATAATTTCCCAGAAAAATTATAAAGTCACTTTTGTAAGTTATTGGATTAATAAGTTCTTAGAAGTATTCCAAAATATTCCAAATCGCCTGATTTAACAGCGAATAAGTTGAACTCTGGCTTTGGTATTTAGTCCTGCATTTCTGCTGTCTCACAACAATAGAAACATAACCAATTAAAGCCGTGAAATTTAAACTGATCTAGTGCATTTTTATCCTGCCCTTCCTCCAAGGAGCTCAGAGGGGTATACATAGCTCCTCCTTCCCCCATTTTACCCTCACAACAGCCCCAAGAGGTAGGACAGGCTGAGAGAACAGACTGGCCAACGTTTCCATTGCAGAGTGGGCATTTCAGGCCTGGTGCTGTGAAACACCTAACGATTACGACACTTGAGTAACATCCTAGTTAGTGATGTCTGTTGAACCAGATCCACTTAGCTGCATGTGAACCCCATCTCCATTGCCTCTTGATGTGCTGTTGGATCGCCCCATTCTAGGTCTAGCAGTCCTATATAAAGGCTTTTGTTAACACCCTGTTGGCGTTGCTGGTATCCTAAGTAGTACTCTGCAACCTGAAGGTTACTGATTAAGACTGAGTGATCCTTCTGACAACCCGAAGTATTGACTGAGGGCCAGACAGGCATGATGTAGAAACAACACAAGATTCCTGAGTCCTGATCCTTTATTTCAAAGTAGCTGCGGAGCTGGGCAGTGGATGTTTAGCCCTTTCCTGCTATGCTCTTATTTCACCCGTCTTCATTGCCTCCCACATCTACTGTCAGCTTGCGGGAGAGGGGAGGCTGAGGTGAGGGAGACAGTACAGGTGTTAAGACTGGCGCCTAGAACCACTCCTCGGTCAAGTCAGCAGTTCCCAGTGACTGATTTGAAGGAAAGGGGAAGAGTTGTCAGTTCTAATCACAGATCTCACATGCCTCATCTGTTTTGACCCTGATTTTACACTTTGACTAGGCACAGAACATTCACGGTTGCTGTAAGTGTAGCTGAGCTCATTTGTGGTAATTGCAGTTTGGAAACTCGTATGATTGCAAATGAGCCCTGACCTGGATAGACTAGGCTAGCCCGACCTTGTCAGATCGCGGAAGCTAAGCAGGGTCGGCCCTACTTGTTAGCTGGAGGGGAGACTACCAAGGAACAGCAGGGTCCCAATGCAGAGGGCAGGCGACGGCAAACCACCTCTGTTAGTCTCTTGCCTTGGAAACCCTGCGGGATCTGCCACGAGGCAGCTGCGCCTTGACAGCAAAAACCCCCACCAGAAACAAACAAACAAAACTGAGAACACTTGTTGCAGGGGTTGATGCTTGCTGTGCAGGACCAAACTCTAGTCTCCACGAAGTTATAGCGTGTCTACTTGCAAGTGAGCAGTACTTCTTTCCAAGCTAGTGTGACTATTTAAGTAGCTTGTTAATATCATATAGTTGAATCAGGAGGCCCTAATATCAAATAGTTAAACCAGGAGATGCAAAATACAATTGTGGTGGTAGCGCTGCTAGAAAATGCCGTCAAGTCACAACTGACTTACGGTGACCCCGTAGGGTTTTCAAGGCAAGAGACCTTCAGAGGTGGTTGGCCAGTGCTTGCCTCTGCATCCTGCCCCTGGTATTCCTTAGCGGTCTCCCATCCAAGTACTAGCCACGGCCGACCCCCTACTTAGCTTCTGAGATCGGCCCAGCCTCGGCTGTCCCAGTCAGGAGAAAATACAACTATGCTAGGCTCTTTTTGTCCGCTCCCTAGGATCTTCGGATTTTCCATTTTCAAACTTATCTTTGTAACCGTGAGGAGCATCTCTTAAAATCAAAACTGGAACCTCAACATTTTGAACAAGAAATCTGTGGGCAGCATTAAAAAAAAAAACTGCAGGGAAAACTAGTCTGTCTATCTCTTGTAATACGATACGTTAAAAGTCTTATCACTGTTTCCTGTGTCAATGCTACAAGGATAAAAATAGAACCAGGAATGCTTGCGGAGGAACTCCGTAAAACTGAGCTCCATGGTAGATCTCACTACTCGCTTCTGAAAAGCCTTTCTGAATCAGAACAAAATTTGAGTCCAGTGGCACCTTCAAGCCCAACACAGTTTTATTCAAGGTATAAGCTTTTGTGTGCACGCACCCTTCTTTCCAAATCAGTAATTCTAAATGGCTGCTCATCAGAATGGTGCCTGGGCAAACATGTTGCGACTGTGAAGACAAACCCTTCCTACAAGTCTGAACAGCTGACTTCCTCCTGCGGGAGACAGCTTTTAATCCTCAACATTAAAAAAGAGAAGAAACAACCCGGACTTGCCATGTAAGGAAAGATTCATTTACAGCTGTGGTTCTTGGCACGGAGAGATGTTCAAAAAGAGATGATTACATGAGCTAAACAGAATTTGCAAATGATCGTCTTTTGACTAAACAAAACCACTAGTAGCCACAGCTACAAACCTGTTAAGAAAAGGATCGGAACTATTTGTGGTCATGGTTCTCAGTTCTTGAGACATTCCAGGAGAGGATACTGGATTCTGAGAGCCTCCATCTTGTTCCATGCTGGGAAGCTGACTTCGGAGAGCCAATTCCTGCCAAACAAGAAGCGACGGCATTAATACGTGCCAGTCAGTGTTAGAAACCCATCATTAGAGACTGTGATTCCATGCAAATGCTACGTCAAATTAAGCCCTGGACTCTGGCTGCGTTACATTTCACTAGGACTCACATGCACTTCTTCCTTCTAAAGCTCATGCTATTTGCCTTCAAAATACTGGGACTGCAATAAGTTTGATGCAGTTGTCGAATGGGACTAATCTTCAGAGGGGATTGTGAAATCACCAAGTTCTGAGACCAAGCAGGGACAGTGGTCAATAGGTGCAGAAGGGCAGTGGCAGAAAATCATTGTTACAAATGAATGCGCTCTGGTAACACAACAAGCTTCATTGTGCAAAAGGCCTGTATCTCTTTAATGAGGAATTATCTTTTTAGAAAAACAATACTTCTGTAAGGTAAAAACATAAAACGGAGGGGGGAGCATCCTATACCAATGACTGCACTAGTCTGCAATCAGCCAGTATTGTACGTTGTACACAGCATTGGGTTTATACACAAGAAGCCTCGATTGAAGACCCACTTTTACCATAAGCTCATTGTGTACCTTTGAGTTAATACAATTCCTCTTAGCCTCAGTTATCCAACTGCAAAATGGGGATAACAGAGACCTTAAGAGTATTTTGAGTTACATAAAGTTAAACATTTTGCACAGAAAAGCATCTAACTAATCAGAGTGGCTCCGGCCACAGCCGTGCTGCTGGTTCACCAACTGGCAGCACAGCTGACAAGTGACACAGACGGGAAAGATTTGTAGCAAAAAGGCTTGGCTCGGAGCGTATTGTTCAAGAGAATAGATCCTTCGCAGATTCTTATATGCTGAACTCAAAATGCTTCCAAGGTAAAAACAGAACAAAACGGTAAGAATAAGCATTTTGTTTATGATCCATGACCCATAACATAGCTACTAAAAAAGGCAATAAAAGGTTTTAAATTAATTTTCAAAGAAAAGACGAGACAGTAATAATAATGCTTAAAAGCAAGCATGAAACGGGGGATATAAAATAACCTGTCCAGCCACAGGCAAGGCAAAACAAATAAGAAAACAAAGCAACCCCCCCCCTAAATTAAGCTCTTAACAGAAGACCAAGATGACAAAGAATGCTAAGAACACAAGAGAAGCCATGTTGGACCTGGCCAATGGCCCATCAAGTCCAACAGTGGCCAAGACCCAGGTGCCATCAGGAGGTCCACCAGCAGGGCCAGAACTCTGGCCTGTAAAACGGAGACAGTCTGGCATCAGATGAACTTCAGGGGCGGGAGGAATTTTACTGCTGAGGGGACAACTGCAGAATGACTACTGCCCCAAGTGGCCACCCACCATATTTCAGAAAGACAGGGCTACACACAGCAGGGCCTTTGCCAATGGGTAGGATTAAAAGACAGAGAGAGTTCCTTACTGTAGTACTCCAGACTGTTTTAGGCTTTACAGATAATAATTGCACCCTTGAGTTGTACCAGAAAACAAAACCAAGCACCCAGTGAAGATCCTCCAAGACTGCTGTGTTCTTTATAGCTCATGACAGCAGGCAGTCTCACTACAACCGAAACTTCTGAATTAGTGTTCAAAGGCGGTCCACTGCAATAATCCAGCTGGGGTGTGATCAGAACATGGACAATGCTTCTCAATGGAGAAGCACAGCTGGCACACCAAACAAAAATGTGGCATTATATGCCACAAAGGAAACCTGCATCTCCATCTATAGGCACAGTGCAAACAGCACCCCACAAACCATAGACCGTTGGCTTTGGGGGGGGGGTGCGAACGAGATGAAGAACAAGCCAACTTCTTATTCTCTAGTTTACCAGGTTTCAAAGTACTGGACAATTATGAAAATAATATGAGTTTATAAAACTTGTAACAATGAACATAAATAACAGTTAATGGAAAGCCAACAAGTAAGATGTTTTCAATCATCTACCATGATATGTCAGGAAACATTCTGGTATATCACATGGAATAACAAAGAATGGGTGTGCATGATTAATTTTGGGTACTTTAAATATTTTTGTTGTGCAGTTATTTGTTTATAGTGCTCTGCATGCCCTTTAATACAATTAAAATGTATTAACTTTTCTGTTGCTTTATCATCTTTATAATGGGTGGTTAACAAGCAGTACTGGGACCCGGGATGTCTAATATAGTCCCTTCATTTCCAATATGATCCGTGATTTCATACCTTCATTGTTGCATTCTGAAGATGATTTGATCAAAATGGACTCTGGAGAGCTTTCCATTACCCAGAATTTACACCATTCTACACATATTAGACACATTTCATGTTTTAATAATCACTCATATAATGTCCATATCGTTTTGTGAATTTAATTGGTACGTTTGAATTGTTAACTTTACCTTTTTAATACATAGCTTTTGATATAGACTTCCTGGCACTTCCATCATCCTCATCTCAACAGAAACCTGTATCTAATTTTGCTAGCCATGCTGTTCAATACCATATCTGTCTTTTCTGAATTATGCTTTTAGCTTACTGGCCTTCATTCTGACTGATACTGGTTTCAAACCCTTGGTTCAGGACATCTCCGTCACACTTGACTCTACTGAAAAAAAGGAATGCAGATTGCCTGTTTTCAGCATGCTGATGACACTTCTCTCCCAATGACTTCACTCGGTTTCATGTAGATCTTAAACAGCATAAAACCCCATCAAACCTTGCAGTACAAGGGCCGCAGAGCTGAGCATCTTGCACCCAGTGCCACTTTCTGATACTAGTTAGTCAGAGCAAAACAGAACCACTGCAAGCACAGTGCTCCCAACATCCATCTCAGCTAGCTAATCTGGGGGGAGTTTTTCTATTTTTCATTACTTTCACCGAGAACCTTGAGAGCCATGTTGCCTGAAATTATAGGATATAAGCATCAATGGCTACCAAGAGCTCAACAGCAGCCAACAGGATCCTACAGCACCCATCTCTTTTCTGCCAAAGGCAGTTTGCTAGAGATCAAGGCAGTTTTAAAACCAGACTGGAAACGGGACTGAAATGGGTACCGATTTTATGCATTTCATCCAAGAGAGCTTGGAGTGGTCCAACTACTGCTTGGTCAAGGTTGCCCAAGAAGGGGATATCTACCACCAGCCAATAGATGTTCGGGTCATTAGGGTCCATGGAGAGCTGCTGGAAATGCATCTTCTTTAATGAAGCATTCAGCACCTCCCAGATCTAACCAAGCAATCTCTTCCGACTCATCTTAATAAGCTGCAAATGATAATGGGGTGGGCTGAACTCCTCCAAGCAACTTACCCACGTCATCAGGTTGCAACAACCGAAGTTCATCCAAGTAACTGATTAAGCTGTGCTTGAGATAATGATCTGAAACTGCTATTTCTGTAGGACAAAGTTGTGGTACATGTAAGCCATTTTATCTGGGAAACGTCTAGCGAATGAGTCACAGTGAGCTGCTGAGCATTTCCAGAACAAGATACAGATGCCCCCCCCATACCGCCTTAGGACAGCTCAGCTGTGTGTCTTCACAGATGAAATGGTGGCAGAAAAGCATGAATGTTCTGCCATCGTCTGGACCACAGACTAGGCAAGAAGATATGCCCTCACTCACACTAGTTGTGCTTGCCTAGAGTTTTCCTCCACTAGGACAGTAAGACCTGCACTCGTACCAGGTCACTGGCATAAGAGACAAAAATACCCAAAGCATTGGGTGGGGCGGGGGGGGGGAGATGGTCTACATATGTAATTCGGTGTACACTAGAACGGCACTCTCATACTGTAAGTCAACTTGTGGTACACTTGGTCATAAATTGGCCACTGGTAATCTAGAGCTTTGCAAGATACCCGGGGATGATTTCGGCCAATTTCCCCTTGAGATGCTGCCTTCCCATAACTGCATCCTCAGGATTCTCTGTCTTCAAAAGTGGCTTCTGTGGGGTACAGGGGGAAGGGAGAGAGACCTATTTACAGAAAGGTCCTGCACCTACAACTACGTATTAACTGTTCTATATATAAAAATTAAAAGGCTGGAAAATAATCTGGCTGAAAATTACTAAGACTCAAATTTCCCCACTGTTCTTTTAAAACTCAAGTCAAACTTTTCCAGCTGCCCTCAGGAGAGTAGATTTAATGTTCATTGTTAGTACAAAATTCTAATTTTGGATACTGCAAACGAGCCAAAAATGATTTGTCAATCCCTTGGAGAAGCTACTATAAAAATGAGGTAAGCTTTTTTGAAACCTATCCACTTGGTCTCTGAAAGCTAATTCTTTTTTCTACTTAGAAGGTCTACAAAACTGCACAGCAGGTCTCAAAATGTGCAGCCATACGCTCTCTCAAAAAGTCAAGCCTTTGCTAAGTGCTTCTATAACTAAAACTCACATTATCTTGCATTCCACAGCCTTGACATCTGGGATAATAAATAATAATAATAATAATACATATAATCAACAAGGATGCAGACTTGCATAAGTGTCAGAGTAGAAAACTGTATGTTTGATTCCCCACTCCTCCACTTGGCTGGATGACCTTAGGCAAGCCATAATTCTGGCACAGCTGTTCTTGAAAAAGAGCAGTTTCTGTCAGAGCTCTCTCAGCCCCACCTACCTCACAGGGTGTCTGTTGTGGGGAGGGGAAAGGAAAGGAGATTGTAAGCCGCTCTGAGACACCTTTGGGTAGTGAAGGGCGGGGTATAAATCCAATCTCTTCTTCTCTTCTTCATTAAATCAACAAGCAACTGGGCACTCGAAACCACTGCATTGGACAGTGCTGACCAGAGATCTCAGCTCAAACTCTATTTTAGCTAAACTAAGAGCCCCAAGGAACACGTTTGAAAGGGCAAGCCTCAAGAGTAACAAATAAGGAATTCTGAACACTTTCGTATAGTAGTATTTTCATCATGAAAATCTTCCAATGAAACAGGGTGATGCAACAGTTAAGAGTGCTGGGACCAGGTCTGGACAAACTGAGGTTCAAATCTCTGCTTGCCATGAAACTCTTCTGATAACCTCGGACCAGCCATCCACTCTCAGCCTGAT